TCACCACCTTCCTCTGCCCCAACCCCCTGACTCCACTCTCACCCACGTCCCTTTCCCTGTTCCATTCTTCCCCGTCGCATTTAACATCGGAGGCAGCACTGTTTACTTAATTATGTTCCTCATCGTCTCCCCCAGCCCTCTGAGATGGAAGCGGCCCGAGGGCAGGGCCTTCGCTGTGGTCTTTGCTCCCTGCCCCGTGCCTAGAGCCGAGCCCGGCACTCACATAGCAGCAGGTGCTCGTGAGCTGCTGAGAAGTTACTGACGGATGTTGGAGAGCAAACAATCACCTAACACACGCAGTCAGTGTGGATGCAAGAATCTCCTTAAACAAGAGTCGTGTGTGTGTGTGTGTCTGTGTGTGTGTGTGTGTGTGTGTGAGAGAGAGAGAGAGAGAGAGAGAGAGAGGGAGAGAGAGAGGGAGAGGGTGTGAACAGATGGCAACAGACCTTGGGAGGGGAGTTCTGTCCTTCTCAGAGCTCCCAGCTCCAGACATCACCTGTCAGTCTGTCTGCTTTCTGTCTGGGCCCCTTCTAGGAGGGGTGGGCAGAGCTGCTGTCCGTCTTGCTCCCGACTCTGCCCTCGGGGCCTGGAACCTGGCCCATAGTAGGTGCTCAGGAAACGTTTGCCAAAGCGGGTGGGAAGGGGCTGTGCCGGGGCGAGGGCGGGAAGGGTGCATGGAAATGACGGCCCGGGACAACTCACAGCTGGCTTGGAACACTCGGACTTTGTCCATCTCGGACTTGGCCACGTGGAGCACCAGCTGGTGCTTGGAGAAGAAGTCCCGGGGCGTCCGCGTGCTCAGCGTCACCAGGGACATGTCCTGCACGTCTGGGGCGAGAAGGTGTGGCCTGAGACGCGGGCCCCGGAGCCCTGCCCTCCCCTCCCCACCAGCGGACACCCTTTCCCATGCCACCTGGCTTTATGTGCTTTATGCCCTTTCCAGGAGTTAAATGATGTTTTTTATTTTGGAATGAAAGCTGATGCTCTTATCCCACTAGGATGAGCTTCGGTGTTAAGCCCAGCAAAGCCGCAACCTATGCAAGCTGACACCTGGGGAGACCAAGAAGACCGTCCCTGTCCTGGTCCCCAGGGAGTGCACAGTCGCTGGGTGAGTAGGGAGGAGCGAAGACAGTCAGCATTACAGAGGGCAATACGTGCTGTGCTGGAGGGAAGCCCAGAGGGCCAGGGAAGGCTACCTGGAGGAGGTGATGCCTTGGCAGAGTCAAGGACTTGGTTTGTCGCCAAACCAATGTCAGCTGAGTCACGTTGGTCTAGAATGTGAATAAAATCGTCATCTCCTGCACAAAACTCTGATAGCACCTCCCAGCTCCCGCAGGCGAGAAGCCAAAGTCACCCCACGCCTACCTGATCTGGCTTGCCCCTCTGCCCCTTCTCCTCCACCCTCACCTACCACCTGCCCCTCGCACACTGCACTCCAGATGCAACGGCGCCCCGGCATCCCTCAGCCCCCAGGCACGCTCCTGCCTCAGGACCTTTGCACTTACAGTTCCCTCTGCCTGGGCTGTCCTTCCCCAGGGTGTGTATGTGGCTGTTTCCATACCTCCTTCTGCTCAAATGACACCCTATGGGGGGACACCTTCCCTGACCTTCCTCTGCCCCAACCCCCTGACTCCACTCTCACCCACGTCCCTTTCCCTGTTCCATTCTTCCCCGTCGCATTTAACGCCATCGGAGGCACTGTTTACTTAATTATGTTCCTCATCGTCTCCCCCAGCCCTCTGAGATGGAAGCGGCCCGAGGGCAGGGCCTTCGCTGTGGTCTTTGCTCCCTGCCCCGTGCCTAGAGCCGAGCCCGGCACTCACATAGCAGCAGGTGCTCGTGAGCTGCTGAGAAGTTACTGACGGATGTTGGAGAGCAAACAATCACCTAACACACGCAGTCAGTGTGGATGCAAGAATCTCCTTAAACAAGAGTCGTGTGTGTGTGTGTGTCTGTGTGTGTGTGTGTGTGTGTGTGTGAGAGAGAGAGAGAGAGAGAGAGAGAGAGAGAGAGAGAGGGAGAGAGAGAGGGAGAGGGTGTGAACAGATGGCAACAGACCTTGGGAGGGGAGTTCTGTCCTTCTCAGAGCTCCCAGCTCCAGACATCACCTGTCAGTCTGTCTGCTTTCTGTCTGGGCCCCTTCTAGGAGGGGTGGGCAGAGCTGCTGTCCGTCTTGCTCCCGACTCTGCCCTCGGGGCCTGGAACCTGGCCCATAGTAGGTGCTCAGGAAACGTTTGCCAAAGCGGGTGGGAAGGGGCTGTGCCGGGGCGAGGGCGGGAAGGGTGCATGGAAATGACGGCCCGGGACAACTCACAGCTGGCTTGGAACACTCGGACTTTGTCCATCTCGGACTTGGCCACGTGGAGCACCAGCTGGTGCTTGGAGAAGAAGTCCCGGGGCGTCCGCGTGCTCAGCGTCACCAGGGACATGTCCTGCACGTCTGGGGCGAGAAGGTGTGGCCTGAGACGCGGGCCCCGGAGCCCTGCCCTCCCCTCCCCACCAGCGGACACCCTTTCCCATGCCACCTGGCTTTATGTGCTTTATGCCCTTTCCAGGAGTTAAATGATGTTTTTTATTTTGGAATGAAAGCTGATGCTCTTATCCCACTAGGATGAGCTTCGGTGTTAAGCCCAGCAAAGCCGCAACCTATGCATCTTGCTCACGGCTCTGTCCCCAGCCCCCAGAAGCGAGACAACCTGGAAGCTCCTAGAACAATGCCTAGCAGGGGCTGGCTACTATTTATGGGATGAATAAGTGGAAAGGGTTGTCCCCTGGGCCTGAGCGGGAAGCGAAGTCTGTGAACCACCCAGAATCAGGGCCCACAAAGGCGTGCGGAGAGCCGAGCTGACAATAGTCACGGGCACTGGGATGGGCGGGCTTAGGGGAAGTTATTTCAGCTCTCGGCACCTGTTCCCTCATCGGTAAACAGGGCCAGGAGTAGTGCCCACCCAGAGGGAGGGGTGAGGTCATCTGCGTAACGGGCTTATGACAGCGCCCAGGTCCTGGGAGTGCCCACAAAGGTACCGGCTGCCTGTGTGCCGGGCACCGGGCATGCATCTGTTCCTATGCTATCCTACCAATTCCCCAGGAAGGCCACAGCCGCTCCCCTCGCTGGCCAGTCCCACCCCCTTAGCACCCTTCTCCAGGGAAGATGGGCAATGTGCCTTCCGCCTGCCACACTTCAGAGGTGTGCCGGCTGAGATCCTGCCCCATCACCATCCCTGTGCCCCTAAATCAGGCCTGGTGTCAGGATGCCCAGGTTTGAATCCTGAGCCTGCAACTTACTAGCTGTGTGACCTCGAGGAAATTGCTTAACTCCCCCATGCCTCGGTTTCCTCATCTGTAAAGTGGGGAGGAAGACAGTACAGACTTCTCAGCCTGTGTAAAAGGATCGAATGAATGCATAATTCTGAGTTGTCAGAGCCGGGACCCACACACGCAGGGCCTCGGGGCTGCTCGGACCTGAGTTTGGGGAAGTAGCCAGGCTTTCCTTTTGAATTATTTCGGGCCCCAGTTTTGACCCCAAAGCAGAAATTTGGGTTGGGTAGCATGTGGGGGGCATGGAAACCGGGGCCTGGAGGAGGCGTTGGGGCTCAGTGCAGTGTTGCTCCCAATTCCTCTCTGGCTGCTGTGTGGCCTTGGGCAGGTCACTTGCCCTCTCAGGACCCTTGTCCATTCTTTCTCCTAGACCAGTGATGGCGAACCTATGACACGCGTGTCAGAGGTGACACGCGAACTCATTTTTTTGGTTGATTTTTCTTTGTTAAATGGCATTTAAATATATAAAATAAATATCAAAAATATAAGTCTTTGTTTTACTATGGTTGCAAATATCAAAAAATTTCTATATGTGACACGGCACCAGAGTTAAGTTAGGGTTTTTCAAAATGCTGACACGCCGAGCTCAAAAGGTTCGCCATCACGGTCTTAGACCGTGGACACCCCAACAAGAACTCGCCCCCAACAGTCCCGATTTCTGAGGGCGGGTACGGGCTCGGGACAACGGGCTTCATTCAGTGATGAAGCTCTATTCCCATAGCTCTCGGGGGCCTTTACCTGCTCCGTCAGGCACCCGGTCATCTGTGCAGTCCATGGCGGAGGTGTGGGGGTTGTCCCTGTCACAGTTCACCAGCAGGATGGCGCCTTGCCCGCGGGGGCCCCAGGTCCAGGTGCTCTGTGGACACCCAGCAGAGACGGGGCACCCTCAGAACCTGTGTGTGTCCCTGCGACTCCTGGGGAAGCAGAGCCACCCATTCCCAGCATCTCAGGGCCTCGCACCCTTCACATCTCTTGCTCCCACATTAGCTCCTTCTTTGGTCCCCCAGAGTGGATTTTTGTCCTGAAAGTCATGAGCAAGTTCACCAAAAATGCAATCCACCCACTTTAAACAAGGAGCCCAGGACAGTACAACTCATTTTAACAGCCTTTGGAAACGGTTGGATTGGCAAACCAAACTGAGCTGAGTATCTGTGCCAAGATTCTAATCTAAATAGTTACTCTTATGCAAACTTTTAATGACTCACCCACCCAAGTATGGGCACTATTCTTGGCAGCCAGTGACTGTCTGGGGAAGATTAAAGTGCATTAGGCCGCCCCTCGGGGCGGGGGCTGGTAGCCATGATGTCTTTTGTTGGTGGGAGAGCGGTGGAGCTCCGGGAATGACTGCGTGTGGGGTGGGGACAAGATGGATTCCACCCTCGGAGGTGGAATTCTTCCCCCACTTTGGACGGAACCAACAAAGGGATCTTAAGCCTTTGACGGGTCATTTCCTCTTGATGGGAACACAGCATCAGGCAGCTCTGCGGCTTCGGGGCCACCCTGGGGTCTATCCATGCACCCCACTTAAGACTCCCCTCACCTACAGGCACCACCCCTCTCTTTCCCTAACAGACATTCCTTGCCCCGCCCACCCGGCTCCTTCCCACCCCTGCCCTGCCGGTTCTTCCTTTCTCTGTCATTCACCCCATGTGGGCAGCATCATGGGACTCTCCCTGACCAGGCATTAAAGACTTTTGTGCCTGCAAAGTTTCCTCTCTTCTGCGCATTCATTGAGTGATTCTGGTTTCCAGTTTGTGGGGCAACACATTCTCTGAATTCACAGCCAGTGAAAAACCTAGCTTCGTAGAAGAGGTGGGGAATACGTAAACCAAAGTGATAATGGTGTTTTAAATTCCCTTCTTTTTCTTGTTCTTCCAGTGAACACGGGATTATGTGAGACAGACCGCCAGCCATCCCATCACCACCAGGGGGCGCCAGAGGAGAACCCAGTGGAGTTGCAGGGAGCGTTTTGCCTGTCCGTTAAGGTTGAGGTACCTGGTTCTTCCCGGCTTTGGTGGGCTTCACTTTGCCGGTGCGGGTGATGTCCGCGCTCAAGGTGATTTCTGAAATCCACCACGTGAGAGGAGAGGGTTGGTGAGGGTACAGGGTAGGGGCACCCAGCCTGACCCCCATGGACACTCCTTTCCCTAGGAGACCCTCTACACCAGTGGTTCTCAACCTTCCTAATGCCGCGACCCTTTAATACAGCTCCTCATGTTGTGGTGACCCCCAACCATAAAATTATTGTCGTAGCTACGTCATAACTGTAATGTTGCTACTGTTATGAATCGTCATGTAAATATCTGACATGCAGGATGTATTTTCATTGTTACACATTGAACATAATTAAAGCATAGTGATTAATCACAAAAACAATATGCAATTATATATGTTTTTCCGATGGTCTTAGGCGACCCCTGTGAAAGGGTCGTTTGACCCCCAAAGGGGTCGCGACCCACAGGTTGAGAACCGCTGCTCTACACCGAGGCCTTGCTCTCTCCCTTCAGAGGAGGCACAAGTTCAAAGACACCCTTGGGAAGGCTGGAGTGCACGAAGTCTGCCTGCAATCCGGACAGCAGAGCTGGGGCCCCTGACCACACGTATTCTCCTTTGGGGCACCCACCACAGCTGTGATGCCACCCAGACCCTGCCTGTGTGGCTGCCCTCAGGGGTTTCCCCAAGAGTTCCCAGCCCCCCAAGGGGGTGCTTGGTGTGAAGCCCCCGCAAGGACACCTTGCCAGGCTCTCAAGGCCTCTGCCCCAACTCCAGCCCCCGGCGACCTTGGGTGGAGGACGCAATGGTCACTTCAACCCCACCTGCTCTTTTGTGACCCCCCTGGGAACAAATCATGGCCCCAAACACACCCGTCTCTGTCCAAGTGAAAGCATATGTCTGTTTCTAAATTCTTCCTCCCTCGTCAGACCACATGACTGCAGTCATTCATTCATTCAGTGACATGGAGCCGTGATGTAGCGACCTGGGAGCTCACAGAGCGAGATCCACCCAGATGGCCTTTTAAACATATCCACGTGTTACTGTGGGGCCAGGCAGCATGGTGCTTAGGGGCCAGGACGTCCCTGCTCCTTCACAAACCAGCTGAGTGACCTTGGGCAACAGTTTTCTCATCCGTAAAATGGGATCATTGTAACAATTTCATTGGATTGTTGTAAGGTTTAAATGTAAAGTCTAAACACAGTGCCTAGTTTATAGAGCTAGTGCTTTATTATTATCATTATTATTAACATGTGTATCCATGAAATAAATGTGTAATAATGAATGAAATTCATTAATGAAATGAAACCTGAAGGTTTCAGATACAGTCCATACATTTAATGCACATTTAAATAATAATAATCCTATATAATAAAAGGGTAATATGCAAATTGACCATAACAGCAGAACGACTGGGAATGACTGGTCACTATGACACACACTGACCACCAGGGGGCAGATGCTCAATGCAGGAGCTGCCCCCTGGTGGTCAGTGTGCTCCCACAGGGGGAGCTCTGCTCAGCCACAAGCCAGGCTGATGGCTACCAGTACAGCGGGGGTGGCGGGAGCCTCTCCCGCCTCCTCAGCAGCGCTAAGGATGTCAAACTGCAGCTTAGGCCTGCTCCCCACTGGCAAGTGGACATCTCCCGAGGGCTTCTGGGCTGCCAGAGGGATGTCTGACTGCCAGTTTAGGCCCGATCCCCCAGGGAGCGGTCCTAAGCCAGCAGGTGGACATCCCCCAAGGGGTCCCAGACTGCAAGAGGGCACAGGTTAGGCTGAGGGACCCCCCACCCCGAGTGCACAAATTTTTGTGCACTGGGCCTCTAGTGTCATTATATTATTGTTCAAGATTTAGAAATATACTTTATTTAAAGATGAATATTAAATAAATAGGAGTCTAGGTAGATCATTGATATGGCAAATATAATGAGATGCCAACAATGGAATTTCAGGAACACTGGTGTATATTACTGCATAAGACAATGTCATCATCTACATTTTAAAAAAATGAGTAGTTGACATGTCAAAAAGATAAGAGACTCAAATATTGAAAATCTGTGCAACATCTCCTAAGTTGAGAAACGAAATATTAAGAAGTTGAAGCTTCCTGCAACGCCCTCTCTCCCCAGTTGTACCTTCTGTGTCTCCCTGACTGAGGAGGGAACATTTGTGAGCCACCAGCCATGCGGCCGGCTAGAAGCTGTGCCTTTTCTCTGCTCAGTCTGAGTAAGCTCCTGAGGGAGGGGGAGGGGTCCCGGTCACTTACCCACCCCGGTGAGGTAGAGCAGCGCGTGGACTGGGTTGGTCTGGGGTCCGTAGTATGAAATCTGAACCTATAGGACAGCGGGAAACCACTCATGACGTCTCTTAGTCATTCAACAAACACGAACTGCCGCTTGCTGTGTGCCTGATCAGGGCAGGATGCTGAGGAGACCAGGATGGGCAAGAAGTGGTCTCAGCCCTAAGGAGCACCCCAGCTGGTGGGAGTGGTGGGGTAGCAACATACTCAAATGCATAGACGGGGGTCCTATGGGAGCCCAGAAGTGGGGGGGCTCATGCTGCCAGGGTGTGACAGGGAGGTACATATTGAGGTAGATCTTCTAAGAGGAGCAGCTGGAGATGTGGTGGAAGAGGCGTGAGAGGGACAGCGTGGGTGACAGGCCACAGAAACTGGCTCTGCAAGCAGAGAGGTGGAGGAGACCTGGAGAGCCAGACCTGGCCGTAGCCCAGCTCCCCGAGGGTCTGGGAGCAGGCGCTGTGGATGGGTGTGGTCTCTTCAGGGCAGGTGCCGTCCTGAGTAAGAAACACCGGCCCCACTGCCCAAAGTCCAAAATCCAGGACAAACGCATCTGATTGGCTGGGCCAAGCCAGAGGAGGGCGGAGCATCAGGATGGACACTCCCAAGCTAAATGGCGGAGGGCAGTTTCCCAAAGCCAACCCAAGGAGCTGCCACTAGAGGAAGGATCTGTCCTGTAGATAGTGGGGATCCAGGGAAATGTCACAGCCTTTGTCACCTCATGTCTGGACCACGGAGTCAGCCTCTAGTCTACTGCCTGCATCCAATCTACTCACTATAGCCAGTGGGGTTTCGAACACACAAATGCAGCCTTGCTACTCCCTGGATGACACGTTTTCCTTGGCTTCCTGTTGCCTTCACAAAGAGATGTCTCTGATGGAAACCCTTTAATACTGGCTTTCTGTCTCTCTCCCCGCCCCTTCCTTTCCACTCTCCCTTCTCACCATCCAGATCTTTCCCAGTTTCCGAAACATGAGTCTCACCCTCTCCTCACCCAGAGTGAACACACAGGTCACATCCCCTATGTAGAGCTCTCACTCTTCTTTCCTTCTCTCTGGTGGGTCACTCAGACCATTCTTCAGCTTGCCTCTTCCTCCAGGAAGTTTCCCCTGATTGCACCCTCCCCAACTTGCTTTGTTACCCAAGCTCTGTGCTCCTACAGCAGACGGCAACTCTCTGCCCTAGTGGGGAGCCTGCCAGGCCTGTCCTGCTGGGAGAACAAATGGCCCTTGACCCAGCCCTCCATGGGAACCCCAGAGGGTCTTGTTGAGCCCATCTACAGCCAATGAGGGTGCAGTGGTAAATGGTGGTGCCTCAAAACATATGTCCACATCCTAATCCCTGGAACCGGTTAAGTGTGGCCTTATTTGGAGAAAAGATCTTTGCAGATGTAATTAAGGACCTGGGGGTGAGATCATCCTGGCTGGCTGGGGGAGGCCTTAGATGCAGTGATGAGAGAGACACAGGCAGGTGTGACAGACCGACGAGGAGGCAGTGTGACCACAGAGGCCGAGAGCGGAATGCCAGCAGCCACCAGACGCCGGAAGAGGCAAAGCAACGATTCTCCCTGAGACCCTCCAGAGGGAGCGTGGCCTGGCCGACACCTGCATGTCTGATGTCTGTCCTCCAGCATGGTGAGAGGATACGGTTCTGTTGTTCTAAGCCACCAGTTTGTGGTACAGCCGCCACAGGAAACGAAATACACGGGCATGGACCAGCGTTTCCTGGGGCTGCCTGGCTGCGGGCTTCATAGCGCTCACCACCATCTGTAATTGCTAACCTATACAGTATCCGATACCCTCACCCCTAGGTTGTAAGCGCCGTGAAGGCGGCAGCCTCCCTTGTCTTGTTTATTTCTGTATCTCCAGTGCCTGGCAGTGCTTGGCACAGAGGAGGTGACTACGAAACATTTGCTGAATAAGTGAATCTCATCAGAACCCTGGCCTATCAATAACCCCCTGGCATCCCTATCTTGTCTGTGAGGACGCCATGGCTGGCATGAGCCATCATGCGCCTTTTCAGAGAGATGGAAGCCCGCCCAGGCTGGGCTCTGGGTCGATGAGGGCAGACTGTGGGGAGCTGACCTGCTCAGACCTGCTGGCCTCCTCCCGCACAGCCCGCCCCACAGCGGCCGCACTCACCTTCTGGTCGCCCATGCTGCTGCTGGCCGCCCGCATCCTCAGGCTCACCTCCAGCCCGGGGTCCAGGGGCCACTTGGAGGAACCTGTGGGATTCTTCTTGGCTGGAGGGCCGTGGGCAACATCCACAACCACCCCTGGGGAGGCGTTGATGCTGAAGAAGGTGCAGCCCGTGGGGGCAGAGCTGTGAGAGGCACAGACAGGGAGGACAGAGAGGCACGGTCAGTCTGCCCAACACAGCTCTCCCCAGCAGTTTTCCTTTCCCCAAAGAGTGTCCACGCCAGAGAGCAGCCAGCCTGACCCTGACCATGGGAGGTTGTCAGGAGGTCATGAGAAACAAAACGAGTCCCCTGGTCCAGCGGGCGTGCACTGGAACTAGGGAAATTGCAGAGAGATGTGCACAGCAAAGACACACACACACGGATGTGTGCACGGAGCAGTGTGCACCCCCGGAGGCTTACTCTCCACAAACACACACAGGGTTGTGCCCAAGCAAAGAATCAGACAGACTTCTGCTTCTGGAATGATGGCAGGCCAGTACTCTGAAGGGCCTTCCTTTTTGAAAAACAACTGGATCTGGCTAAAATATAATTTTTTAGAACATGGCTGTGATCATGAGAAGTCAGGACAATCTCCAAGGACTCCCTTCTCTGCACACATACACAACTCAGTAGTTAAACTGAAGAACACCAAAGACAAAGAGAAGATCTTAAAGGTATCCAGAAAGAGAAGCCAGATCGCCTATGAAGGAATAACAATCAGACTGAGAGCAAACTTCCCCATAGCAACAATGAAGTCCAGCAGACCACTGAATAATATCTTCGAAATATATATTGAAAAAATAACTATCAGCTTAGAATTGTGTACATGACCAAATTATATTTTAACAAAGGCATTTTCAGGTGAAGAGGAACTGATATTTTAAAACCAGCACACTTTCACCAAACCAATTTCTAAATACTTTAAGAAGAAGATATCAGAGGCCAGAAGCATGGTCTGACATGCAAGAAAGAATGGTGAGCAAATAAAATGATAAGTATACAGTTTGTCTGTATAAAAACGGTTTTCAAATATCAAAATGGTAGCCCTGGCTGGTGTGGTTCAGTTGGTTGAGCATTGTCCCATGCACCGAAAGGTCACTGGTTCAATTCCTGGTCAGGGCACATACCAGGTTGTGGGTTTGATCCCTGGTCGGGGTTTGTGTGGGAGGTCTTTCTCAAGTCAATAAAAAAAATTTTTTTTTAAATATCAAAATTGTGGCATTAACAGTGTTTAATTCTAGATTTTATAGAGTTAAAATTTTATGATTAAATTTAAATAATAGGAATAGAGTTCATAAAATTCTGCACATGCAGAAAATACAATAATAAAAAAGAACAGAAAAATTCCATTCAAAAAGGCAATAAAAGAGCAAAAGATAACATGGGGGGGGGGAACAGACAAATAAAAATAATGGTAAAAACATATCCAACCTGGCTGGTGTAGCTCAGTGGTTGAGTGTTGACCCTTGAACCAGGAGGTCATGATTCGATTCCTGGTCAGGGCACATACAGGCTCAGTCCCTAGTAGGGGGCAGGAAGCAGCTGATCAATGATTCTCTCTCATCATTGATACTTCTATCTCTCCCTCTCCCTTCCTCTCTCTGAAAATTAATAAAAATATTAAAAAAAATATCCATACATATAAATATTCAAAATAAATGAAAATGGATTAATGTTGACAGTTAAAAGAGAGTTTGGGATTAGATAAAGAAACAATAGCTATATGTTATTTATAAGAGACACCCCTAAAATATAAGGATCCAGAAAAGATGAAGTACATTAATCCAATACTAACCAAAAGAGAGCTGGGATGGGCATATTAATACCAGACAAACAATGCACTGTTGGCAATAGGAAGATCTCAACCAAAGAATGAGGTTCAACTCACCTAGAAGATATTCTAAACTTGTATGTACCTAATAACATAGCTCAGTAGATTTATAAAGTAAGCCTTGGTAGAAATACAGGGAGAAGTTGACAAATTCACCATCATGGTTGAAGATTTCAACTCCCCTTTCTCAATTAACAATAGATTAAGCAGACAAAAAAGGGGACACAAGTAACAAACTTGATTTAGGAGACATATAGAATTCTGACCCCACAACTAGTGAATATACACTTTCCCAAGCAAAGCACACATGGATCACTGAAAAATATATATAGCCGCCCTAGCCAGTTTGGCTCAGTGGATAGAGCGTTGGCCTGCAGACCGAAGGGTTCCAGGTTCGATTCTGGCCAAGGGCACATGCCTGGGTTGCGGGCTCGATCCCCAGTAAGGAGCGTGCAGGAGGCAGCCAATCAATGATTCTCTCTCATCATTGATGTTTCTATCTCTCTATCCCTCTCCCTTCCTCTCTGAAATCAATAAAAAAAATAATAAATGCAATAACTAAATATTAAAAAAATTATATATATATATATATCTCCATGTAATTCACCATAACAAATTTATTTCATTTAATAAATATGAAAGGACAGGTAACATATGGTGTAGGTGGCATATTCTTTCATCACAGTCTAAGGAGTCACTAATCCAACCCAGCCCAAAGACCCATCTCAGGGACCCGCACCACCGAATCCTTTCCCCGTCACTCCAATCCAGCGGGGTTTCTTCCTCCAGATGAGATTTCTCTCTGCAGGAGAATCACAGTGCCCCGAAGATGACTACATAACAATCCCCAGAACCCACGCATATGTCATCTCACATGGAAGAGAGGACTTGCGGATGTGATTAAGGATCTGGAGATGGGGAGAATATGCTGGATTATTTGGGGGGGACCAGTGTAACCACAAGGGTCTTTAGAAGAGGGGGCGGGCGGGGCAGAGTGAGAGGAAATGGGTGATGGAAGCAGAGGCCACAGTGATGCAATTGTTGGGAGGGGCCATGAGCCGAGGAATGCAGGTGACTTCCAGGAGCTGCAGAAGGCAGGGAGTGGATTCTCTCCGCCTCCACAAAGGCACACAGCCCTGCCGACACGCTGACTTTAGCTCCGTGAATTTTAGCCCCGTGAGACCCATTTTTGAACTTCTGGTCTCCCAAACTGGAAGATCATACATTTGTTTTTTGGTTTTTTTTTTTCCAGTTTTATTCAGAGATAGCATTTTAAGCAACTAGATCTGTGGTAACCTCTTACAACAGCAATCGGAAGCCGCACACCCTCCCTTCCCGCACTTCTGCTGCAGGGCTTCTCTCATCCCCCCTCGGCGAACTCCCTGCTCTCTCAGGTGATGGGCGGCTGGCTTCCTAACAACAAGGCAGTCTCAGAGGCATGGGGGCTTCACGGTGTCTCTGTGTAGGGGGCACCCACGTGTGTTAATACAAGACAACTCAGAGCTGACTCTTCTTGTAACGTCCAGGAGCCTCTGTAGTGGCGGCACTGAGAACCCGAGCCCGCACGAGTGACATCATTTCTCCGGCTCCCGCACCCAGCATTTCCTTACCCACGACCTCCCGTGGGTCTGTGACACTCACACATGCAGGGGCTCACGAGACTCTTCTAGCAAAGGGGGACCACTCGGCCGGACACCTGGCCTGCATTTTATAATTTAACTCTCGCCACAACCCAGCAAGGTGGGCGTTGAGTCTCCCATTTTACAGATGGGTAAACTGAGGCTCTGAGACACTAACAGGCTTGCTCCTTGCTGTCCCACTGCATGGTCTCCTCTTGAGAAGGAGACCCTGGGAGGAAGAGGAGAAGCCCATTGCTGGCAGCTTCAGAACACCCACTGTGGTTGGGCCTCCTGGACCCCGAACCCATTCTGGGCCTTTCCCAAGCCCCGCCGACCGACCAGGCAGCCGTGCCCAGCGAGGCCGACCCCGCAGCGCTCAGAGGCAGTGTGTGCTGGAGAGGCAGGTGGGTTTAGGATCAGACAGGCCTGGGTTCAAATCTCCTGCCAGGTAGATGTTTTTTTACCTCTTGAAGCCTCAGATTACTCATCTCTAAAATGGGCACGATGAGAGTGTTTACCTTGCAGGGCTTCTGGGAGGATTAGAAATCCCGATGGAAGGGCTGGCACTAGTCCCTGGGGTCATGATACAGCCCTGACGCCAGCCACAAGCATCACAGAAAGCGCCTCAACAGGTTTCCAGGGATTTTGTTTGCATGTAATCCATGTATTTCCTGTTCCGGGGAAGCACTTTCCCAACAGAGAGTGAAAATCACCAGCAGAGGTGAAAGCAGCTCTGGAAGAGGCACCCACACCTGTGTGGTCTGTCCCGCCTCTTTCTAACCCTGGGTGTCTGAGCCCAGTGGCAGGGGCCACGGCTCGAGCAGGGTGTGGAGGCATGTGCTGTGCTGGGAGGGGCTCAAGGGTGCA